AGAAATGAGTTGCGACCAGAACGGTAGCCATAATAGTCCCCGAAGCGGTAGAGGTGGTGGATGTGGGGTGGGGTAATTATATTATATTAGAATTAAATATTTAATAATAAATGGATTTAATAATTCATTATTTCATAAATAAAAAATTAAAAAACCTGATTTGTGAAATTTGAAACTTGTTTTTGTATTTTGGAAATGGTGTGAAGTAAATACCTTAAAAATATATTGTTCCATTTCATAAATTATCAAATTGGGCCGATTGGTTCATTTGTTTTGAAACTTATTGGGCTATTTTTTAAAACATATTTGGGCTGGACTAAACCGGTGCGAGTCCGATCCAGCCCTCTCCCAAATCTTCCCAAAAATAGTGAGTTGTTTGGCCATTTACGATTTTGCCATCGTCTTCACCAATTTTTTTCTTTTCTTTTTCTGCATCATCTTCACCAACTTCTTGTATAGGTAATTGGCGTTTTAATTACAGTTTGCAGTAATTGATTGTTTGCTGAAAATTGAAAATGGAAAATGGCGATGATTGGCTAGCCTTAGACAAGTTCTACCACGTCCTATTCTGCTTCTTCATTTCCATTACATTCTCCCTTCTCGCAGCCCGAAATCCATACCCATTAATTCGGCGATACAGTGTCTGGATCGGATCCATCGTTTCACTTCTTGCCGGCGCAGCCAAGGAGTTCGCTGACGAGCTGGGCTTCTTCAGGTCCGCCGGGGCGTCCACAAAAGACGCCGCTGCTGACCTGATCGGCGTTCTACTCGCCATACTCACCCTTTCTTTATGCAAGCAGAAGTCTTCCTCTGCCCTGGTCGAGCGAGACCACTCGGGTCAAGCCCGAGTGCTCGAAATGGTTTGATCAGTTGGAGTGATCACTGGTCTGGTACGCTTCGATACTGCATTTAGGATAATTATGTTGGATTGATAAGAAAAATAGGGAAAGCTAAAATTCTGTACCTTGGAAATATAATTGTATTTTGAATTTCTTTGTAGTATTTAGCTTTAAATTTCTGTTTCTTGATCAATAGCATATTTTGTACAGAGAAAAAGGTAATTGGAAATGCAAGGGAACATTCAAAAACAGGCATGGCCATTGACTTGGAAAAGGTAATTCAATGGTCAAAGGTCGAACCTGTGTTGAAAAAAGAAAATCTTGGTGTGGACTGGCCGGTTTTTTTAGCTGAATCGTGAGTTCTTAGGTTATTTCGGGTTCCTTTTTTGGCCTTTAATTGGACCTCTCGCAGTTTTTCATAGGTGAACTAGCCCGTGTTCTAATAATTGCTATAAAGATCTAAGCTTGGCGACTTAGTAAATAATGCTATTTTGTCCTTGTTGGCACTATAGATGGTGTTGAATTAGAGGAGTGAAAATGGATTCTAGTAATGTGATCGATATGGAATAGGTTAGAAGCTCATTTTCTAAAGAGAGACGCTCTTTCAAGTTAACAAGTTAGAAGGATATATAGATCATAATTAACATAGATATTTTAGTAGATGAGATAATGAAATAAACAGAGAGCAAAAAAGAATTTATATAGCTGACTTTAAATTTTTTGGGAGTAGAACTTAGATTGGTGATTTTGGAAAGTGTGAAAATTGAAGTCAATTCAGAATTCGATAACGACAAGATCTGATGAGAAGAATTTATAACATCCACTTTGAATATGATGGTTCTCTTTTTGATTGTTTTTGCATTTTTACAAGTGCATACTTTCTCCCAAATGGCTTGAAAGTCACCCTTTTCTGAAATTTTGTAATTCAATAAAGTTGCTTTGAAGAAAATTTCATGGAAAACTCAATTAATAATTGTCCTGTGTTATTTGGATTTTAGATTCATACATTTGTTACGTTACTACACACATTCATCACACTTCCATCAGGGTTTGCAACCTGATGTATGGAGGTGCCCATATGCTATATTCGTTGTTATACTTTATTCAATGAACGAAGTCCTTTATTATTGATTTTATGAAATGTATGGCTGCAATTAGGTTCAAGTATTCCAATTTAACAAAAATAGGTCTACATCAGAACAAAAGCAATGGTCTTGTTGTTATTCTTTAGGATAATTTCTGGTTGGTTGCCTTGTCAAAAGCAGATCTATATACCTAGGCCTGAATTCACTGTGCTAAATAGCAGACAAGAATGAAGTTTTTTGCCTTTGAAATGAAAGTGGAAGAACTTGGTTTTCTTGCCAACCATTTTGTCATTGGAAAACTCATGGACGGACCCATATTAGAGCATATCTTCTAACTTTATTATCATTTCTTTTAATGGCAATGATTCTATAGAGGCCTTTTCTGTGGGTTTGCCTCTTGATGTTCTATTTTTTACGGTCATATAATGAAGCGGTAAAAGAAGAATTACCTGAAATGATAATTATTAACTGTTTGGAATCTTCACCTAGATCTAGCGAAGACATAGACAGACTGGCAGGAAAGGGATTGTTAGGGACAAAACTTAGTTTGTTGTTGCACATTTTTGTGTTTAATCTTTCATGATTCTTTTGGAGTCAAAAGGATGGCCTTAAAGCAATAGAGGATGCTAACAAAACTGCTTCAGATTTCCATAGAAGCACAAAAAATCACACTCTTCTCTGAAACTATACACGAACGCAATAAAATGAACGGTAATATTTAACCAGCATCGCATAATTGAATTGACGCGTTAGCTGATGCAATCAAGTTTTTAAAAGAGAATTGACGTGAATTAATTTTTGATAAATCACGTTCGAAATCCAACTCTGTACATCCGATGTTCTCATATTAAAACAAAATTACTTCTTTTCTTTATGTTTCTGAGTCTTTTTGATGAAGGGAAACAGCTATTCTTCAACAGGGTAAGAAAATAACATCAATTGGCTGCAGGAATTGGAACAACTCTGGACTGCGGTCAACGAATTAGCAGGAAGAGTTCTCAATTCTTGAAGGGTTTGATAAGCCACCAGGAGAAGAAGGTTTTATGATTCTCGGAGCACAAGCAAATATGAAATCAGTAAGTTTTGGAATAAATGATTACTTTGTTGGTCAAAGAGAAAATAAGTAGGACGTTTATTTTGGAAGTAACTCATACCTTACCGTAAATATAACTAGCTTTATCTACTTATAAGTAAAAAAGTAACTTTCCTAAATATATCGAGAATCAGAAAGATATCACTTTAAAGTAAATTTTATTTGCTTTTAATCTTAGTCAAACACTTCCTCTAGCAAGGCATATGTATGCTAATCTTGATAAGTGTGTTTTTGCACAATTATTTAATACCTAAACAAACTAATTATTGATTAAAATGAGTGAATTTTTACTCACAATTAGGTAACATTTGCTTTTGTAGGCCAAAAATCATCCATGGAATAGAACAAGGCAAAATGAGTGAAAAGGGACTAAAAGTGCACAAAATTGTAAAGTTGGGGACCAAAGTGATCAATGACTGAAAGTTGGAGGACTCATGATGCAATTATGGAGGGCAAAATTGATATAAACGTCAAAATCCAAGGATCATATTGTACAAATTCATAGTGTGGGAACCTGATGTGCAATTACAGGATGCCTGGGCTATAATATTTCGAAAATTCACAACCTTGTGGATCATTTTAATTATTTTTTGAAACCCCAAGGACCATGGCTGCAAATTTTGAAAACTTAGTTTTAAAATAAGATAACCCTACACGTAGCGGTGGCAAAAAAGCTCGAAGGCTCGGACGGCCCGGGCTCGGCTCGGAAAAAGCCCGAGCCGGGCCCGGCTCGGGCTC